GGAATAAATAAAGAGACCCGGGAAGTAACTAATAAATCTGGAAAATAACTAAGAAAAAAAAAAAATTAGTAACAAATGATTATGAAATATATACTATATACTAATTGTATTTCTTGCTTTGATAAAGATATAGACACCTTAAGGCTTTCTACAAAGATATGTAATTGAATTGCTAAGCGTATTCAGGATAGACTAAATATTAAAGAAATCAATAGATTATTTCAAAAGTAGGCTCATGATATGTCAAATATAAAGAAAAATCAAAATAAAAAAATGCTGTAAATATTTGTAATAATCTTGTAACTTGAGACAATATCTATAATATTTGGAAAAAAGTTATAATAGAAAGTTAAAACATAAATCTGAAGAACAAAATATAGAATTATAGAAAATTAAGCTTGAACAAAAAAAGGATCTTACTTGTGCAATTTCTCAAACAGGTGCTTTTATTTTTTAAAAGTTTTTTTTTTATTTTTTATGCTGTTTTTAAAATAGTTAAAATTGCAAATAACTTTTTTTTAATATATACCTGTATACTCAATTATCTTAGCACATTGATTTAAGTTCAATACCCAATTTTATATAATTATTCTAAACAAGTACATATCAATCTTTAATCAACATTCTAAAGTAATCAAGTATATAAGTGTATACTAAAAAAAAATTATTTGCCATTTTCAATTATTTTAAAAATAGTAATAATTTTTATTTTATTTTTTTTTATAAACTGGTGAATGTGACAAGAGAAAGCTTTTTGAATTTATTGTTTCTATTTTTAAAGAAATTATTTATGAAATTCCCATTATCTTTCTTGATGCAACTCACGGAACTAATAAATATAAATATTTATTATATACCTTGCTTTTGTCTGACCCAAAAACTAGCAAAGGCATTACACTTACCCATCATATTTTGTTTTGTAAAACTTTGAATCTATACAGTACTGGCCTCATAATCTTTGTATTCAATTTTCTAACTAGCAAGACCCTACTGCATTTTTAGTAGACTACGATTCTGCTCAAATTAAAGCACTTCGTGCAGTAGTTTCAGAAAGTATAATATTACTTTGTTGGTGGCTTGTCACCAAGCCTGGTGAGAAAATCTTAATAAGGTTAGTAAAGAAAATACTAGTTTATTAGGATGTAAACTTTCAGCTGATAAGAAAAAATTGTTAGAGAATAAACTTTTTAAAGATCTAAAATATTTAATAAAAATTGTATTGTTAAAGAAATTTTATCAGTTTTTTAGAAAAATAGAAAAACTTTGTAATATTTATTACATACTTTAAGTGACAATAGTTAAATAAACTAGATGAATCTGATAATCTTCATGGAATTGATAAAGTTATATGGATAAATGCTTATCATATCAGAGTTCCACATTTCAATATAGATACAATATACTAGAATCTTGGTATAAACATCTTAAATATAATAATTTTGAAGAAAAAATAAATTGGCATGTTGATATCTTAATTTATAAGCTATATATTGTAATGGAAGGTGATATATAGCAATAGCAGTGACTTGCTGATATTATAGCAAGACACATGATGTTTACAGAAAAAGAAATTTACAAGTAAAGTTGTAAAATTACTATAATTTTGTGCAATTTATATAATTTTATATAAATTTTAGTAAATTAGTTTTATGTAGTTTGTAAAATATACGATTTGTAGTTCTAAGATCAAATTTTTCAATAATTAAAAGTCAAAATTTTGTAGAGCTGATACCTAATATATAATATAATGAAAATTACATGAAATCTAATTTACTGGAACTTACATAAATTAAATATATTGTAAAATTATAATTTTAGAATACAACTCTATCCACAGAAGACAAATCAAAGCCCAGAAATTATCAACTATAGTACTAGAAAACACAGTTGGTGAGTACTATTGGACTGTAGCTTTGGAAACAAAACCAGGTATTAAATATTGTGTAGAAAACAAATTAGAATATGAACAATTGAAATAGAAATTTTTCTGCACCTGTATAGACTTTTGAACATAGCAACTTCTATGCAAGCATATTTATACTGTAATTATATGCTATTTTATTTCTTCTTCAACAAATATTGAATCACCAAATCAACGCCAACAAAAAATACAACAATCAAGTTATCAACAGCCATCTACAACTGAGAAACTTATTGAAGTATACAAAAAATGATACAAAACCTCTATGACCTTGATATTAACTTTTTGCAAGTTGTTCACAATTAGCTGTCTCATGCTCTTGAAGTTGTCCATAGGCCAAAAAAGAATTTTCAGACAGGCAACTGGGTAAATGAAGATCTGAGTATAAAATTTCTATCAAATATATGTGTTGAAAGACAATGAAGATAATATAAAATTTTGTTATACCTTTTATATTTGTAAATTATATAACTTATAAAACTATAGCATATTTGTTAGGCATATTTATCAGGTATATTTGTCAAGTTTATTTAAAAATAAATAATAAAATAATAAAATAAATGTTTTTAGTAATAAGATCATATAAAAATTCTTTTAGTAATATCGAATCGCTATCGATCTTTGCGACATGTACAAATTTCTGATATTTGATTATTAGCCAATCAGCTTCTTGTCTAATGAGCTGTAATGATCTATTCTATATTTAGATTTGTATCACTAGTACAAATAAGTAAATCATAGCTAGGGTACTACAACTTTGACAAATAACACAACTACTGATAATTGACACAACTACTAACACAACTACTAATGATTGTCGTGAATTATATTGAAATTAGATTAAAATAAAATAAAGGATTTCTATTTATCTCTCTAAAATCCACTTATACTTGTTTATTATAAAATCTACCCATAAACACTAATTCTAGCCCTAAAAAAATGCTAAAAAAGTGCTCTCCAAAAGTTTGTATTTTTTGGTGGCTTGCCTATTTTACACTATCCCTTATTTTATTTTAATCTGATTTTATTTTAATCTGTTACAATGATTGATGAAACTTTTGACAAAATTAATTAAGGGGAGGGTTATTTATCAGCTGATATTTTTTTATTAAGAGCTACCCCCTTTCCCCCTACCTGATTTTAAATAAAAAATTTTAATTGACTAAAACTATATACTTGATAATTTTTTTTATCCCCTCCCCTCCTAAAAAATCAGCTAATTTCTGGTGCTCCCCTAACTAATAAAATATAAATATATAGTTGACTTTCTTTTGATAGGCTTCTTTATACTAACTTCTGGACATTCTGAATTTTAAAATTATTGTTACTATAAATTCTTGAAATAGTAAGCATAGATATTATTTTGTGTTTTGGTCTGAATTAAGCCTAATTTAGGCCAAATTTTGTAATTTTACCCTGGGTGCTATTTTGAGAATTTATGGTATTCATTATAAAAATTCATCAATTCATATAAAAACATAATTTTTTAATTGACAACAAACATCATTTCTATTAAATTATTAGTTATAACAAGTTAGTATGACAAAAATAACAAGCCTATACAAAAATTAATTTTATTTTTATATCTTTACAATATATTGCATCTGAAATCTATAGTCTTTTTTATTGCTAGTAGTTTATTAGAACTATTAGATAAATCTGGGTGATTGAGGCAGATCATCAGAAAATGTCGAATAGATATTCTATAAAGCAAAAATTGAGTAGATATAATAATAACCAAAAAATAAACTTCACATGAAAAAATTTATTTCCATTATGGAAGGAATGGATAATAGTTTTGTGCTTTAATATTCATCATGAGTTTTGTTATTTATCATGAGTATTTTTCATGAATTTCATAATTTGTCATGAATTTTATCATGTGTTACAAGTTTCATTATGCATTATTGTATTAACTCAAATCTGCCTGATGCAATAGTTTTGTCATACATTAGTGATACAAGTTGTGTTATGCATCACATATCATTAGTATATATATGATAAAATCAACCCCAAAATGGGTTTTATATATAAATTCTAAATTTACTTAAATTTTGTTTCTACTTGCAACATATATAAGCATTAAATCTATGCATAAAATTGTATCTTAATTTAATAAGCTTACAAAATTTATAAGTTAAAAAGTAATTATTATTAAACTCAGTGATAACTGATATAGCATTAAGAAAATTTAAATGATTTATATTTATGATAGCAAATGATTAAATTTATATGATATACAAGTAGTCGCATAAATAAGTTTATTAATTAGAATTATGCTTGTATGAAGTTATAATCAGAAATAGCAAAATTTATAACAGATACACCAAATTTACTATTTATTAGATTTTGTTTTTAAGTAGTGAACTAAAATTTTCAGATAAATATCAGGACTATTTTTGTATTTAATTGACTAACACTAGTCGAAATTTTTTAATATAAAAGGCCAATATTTGGAAGATAGCTAGGTGAAACATCTAAAAACAAACATTCGAATAT